GACACCCAACTCTACATGACGGTATTCCTATGTCATCGTGGAATTTTGGTTCTATATGTCATTGGGATTCCTATGAAAATTGATTCCTATCATTCTAAAAAAATTTATACTATGTCCTTTCAAAATAGTTTGCAATGGATTATGAAGGCACCTACACACATATGATGTCGGAAGACACTAATGTTGATTTGATTACATTATCTACTCAAACAAAGTCAACCACACTATTAAATACTGATGAAATTCCCGCCTAGAGTGGCATAAGTAAGCAAAACACAGTTCTGGTGAAACCCAAATATAGAACATCCAGATATGTACTGGTTTCAAGAGTTTCTGGTTATTTTCTAAAAATATTGAAGGTGCATTTTTCTTTTTTTTAATGAAAAATTATAATTTACCTATTCCAAGTGTACCGGATCATTTCCAGCGTACGATACTAACTGCTCCGTCACGAACAGCATGATCAACACCGACTAGTGGCATTTGTAAACAGTGATCCACATTTTCAGTGAGAGCGAGTTTCACAAAGCTTGGTACTGGTAGGAGATAGTGAATAAAAGAAGGGCAAATTGTGTTCTTACCCTTGTTCAGGAGTCTAATTGTAATTTTACCCCTGTTTTTTTTAACTTTATGATTTTGCCCTCACTTTTTTGAAATGAAAGCTCCATTTGCCCCTGTTTTGGATGACCATCAAATGCACTTGTAATAAAATAAATTAAAAAATCAAAATATCTAAACACAAAGGCAAAAGACCAAATTGCCCCTTATCTCTTCATTCTCTTCGTCATCTATTCAGAAGAAAACAGAGGCACGGGTCGCTCGCTCTCTCTCACGTGTCGAGGCGAAGAACCGGGCCTGGCAGCGGCGCGCGGTTCGGCGGCGGCGAGCTGGGCGGCGGCGCGCGGCGCTCGGGGCAGCGCGGGGCCTGTGGTGTGGTGGCGCAGCGCGGGGCATGCCGACCTGTGGTGAGCAGCGGCTAGGGGCGGGCCAGGCCCAGGTCAGTCGCCAACTCACCATGTGAGTGATCCTTCCTCCCGCGACCTCCTGATTCTCGTCGGTCTACTCTTCATTAGCTTCGGAATCCCGGTCCCCTACGCCCAGCGCGCGCGCGTCTTGTGTATGAGTAGCTGTTACTTTCGATTGGAACTGGGTTGACCTAGCTGGGGATGAAGGCCCGCGCCTCGCGCCTAAAGATTCCGCGAGCTGGCTGGCTGTGTGCGGCTGATTGGTCGTGGCTTCAGCCATGAGAGGTCAACAACACCCTTGTTGTCTAAGGATTATGCGTAGCTTACTTGCTAGATTTTGGTTTTGTGCTTATCTGTGGGCTGTGTCAGCTTGATTACAGCTTTGGCTCAGTGAGCTGTGAGCTGGGGTTGTACTCGTGGGAAGTTGTTTATCTGGCCATTGTAGGTCACTGACTCGCTGCTTATGCTATCTCGTTTTACAAGCAGGCTCAACAGTATTCGTATGTTCATGAAGTTCGTCCTAATCTGCCATGTTCGGAAATGACTCTGTATTCGTGCAGCAGCTCTGTGCGGCGCGGGCGGCCAGGTGGTGCGGGAGTAGACAGGGCCCAGCGTGGTCGGGCAGCAGGCGCCCCGAGCGTGCATGCCTCCAGGCGCTACGCCACGCGAGGATAGGAGCAGCGACCCCGGCGAGATGGATTTATGCGACGTTGGTGAAGAGACTAGGTAAGATTTGGAGCTCATGTGATTTGGTCTATAGGAAAATTAGTATCAATCTGTAGGAAGAATGAGTTTATGTTTGTAGAGCGATTTAGCTAACTGTGTATTCGGTGATGTAATTTGTAGGCCAAATCATATGGATATGAGCCTTGTTGTTAGAGCTCTGTCATTTTTCAGTTTGCCTGATGGGGGGCCAAAATCATGGCAACAGGGTAGAACCTTGCCTACTCAAATTGTTGACATGCATAGCTTTGACCTATTGCAGCTAGTTAATTTGAGAAATTTGTTTTGAGAGCCAAGATTGCTAGTAAAATGTCAGGCACAATCATTCCAGCTGTGACCAATGCTCTAAATGCTAAAGCCAAGAGTATAAGGGCCATGAGGTATTGATATGTGGGGCTGGAACAGCTGAAGTAACTGTGAACAGATTTAGGTACGCAATCAACTTAGAACAAAAAAACATGTAGTTGTAGGGCTTGGCAAGTAACTGGACAGATCTGCACCCATGCTTTAGCTTTCATTTCTAAGATTAGTAGAGAGGTATGAATGGATGACTTTGTGCATGAATACTTCTCTGTTGATCAGTTAAAAAAGGCCTATGCATGTTCTTTCAATCCAATGGCATCCAAGGATAATTGGCCACATGTTGATTCGGGCTATAAAATCAAGAAGCCTAAACAGAGAAGGAAACTAGGAAGACCAAGAAATTCTAAGATCAAGTCCTATGATGAGGCCACCACCAGTAAGAAAAGGAGACCATGTTCTGAATGTAATGAACTAGGCCATATAGCGAAGCATTGCCAAGGAGGTCCAACTACTAGTCAAAAGAGGAATTGTTTATCTTCTCAAAATGAATCATCTTCACAAGAAATGTGAGTCATGCTCATTTGTATTTCAAAAGAGGATTTCGTTAGTGTCTGTTGCCTGCCATATTTAAATGACTACTCAAAAGATGATACAGTTGTAGTTGTAGTTGCTTGCCATATTTAAGTGTTTGTTGCCTGCCATATTTAAGTGTTTGTTGCGAAGCACATCCACAGAATGATTCACTGTGTCGCTACCGCCATGTAACCCAGCGAAATACCCAACAGTTTACACTTTGAATAAGTTTTAGTCTTTCAAAAGAAAGATATAACAGCTGTTGATAGTTTGTTTTATTCATTACAATTGTAGATTTTTATTCAATTGCAAGTATTTCTTGAATTTAATTCAATAATAGAAGTAGCAACTGAAACCAGCCCAGCAGGCATCAGCAACTTGTGGATGTGACATCACATTTTGCATTATGACTGCTTCTGTATTTTACCCTCTTACCTCTCAATATTAGACTACTAGTTAGTTGGCCTTGTTTGCATAGCAGTAGAGCCAGCAGTCTACTATCCTAGCACCCTCTTAAATGTTGATGGTTTACTTTGTCATATCTTTAGGTTGTTTCTGTGTCATTTGTAACTTGTGCTTGTTTTGATGTTTCAGTGTTTTACAAAGTTTCATAGTAGAGAATTTCTATTAGAAAGTTATTATTGTTTGAAAAAAATGCTTATTTAGTCAACTTGTTTACTGAACCATTTTTCTCCATTCATGTGAAGCGCAAGTGCAACTGCAAGTGCAAGGGGAAGGGGAAGGGAAGGGGAAGGGGGAAGAGGAAGAGGAAGTGCAAGTGTAGGACCTGGAACAGAAGGAGCAGAAGGGGCTGGAACAAAAGGAAGAGGAAGAGGAGGGAGGTTGGGTGCATTGTTAGGAATAGATGCATGAATGTGATGAGGCTTTTGTTGGACTTGTATGTTGGATGAGGCTTGGTACTATATGGATACTTTTGCTACACTTTTATTTGATGTGATATTATCTATCTATATTTGCATGCTGTGTGGAATCATATGTAACAAGTTGTGCAATGATGTTGCCAATTTAAAAAAAACAGGGGTAAAATCACAATGTATTCAAATAAGTAGGGGTTTTCCATGGGCAAACTTGTCCGCACTGAGCCCATTTGACACCGTTACCTGCTGTTCCTGGAGTAGGGGTAAACTTAAGCTTCGTTTTTAAAAAAACAGAAGTAAAATCACAACGACAATAGAAATAGGGATAAAATCATAATTAGACGTCAAATTAGGAGCAATAACGCAATAGCCCCGTAAAAGAATGGGTCTAGGAAAGAGGCTTGCTGGTCAGGCGGGGCACACCAGACACGCACACGTGCCACCACTAGTGGACCTGACATTTTGATTTGACAAATTAAAAGCGTAAAGATATCTTCTAAGCAAAACTATCAAAGACTTCATTTTCTAAGAACACCCAACAGAGACTAGTTAGAAAGTGAGTTGTGTTTGTTACTTTATTGCGTTCTTTTTTTTTATAATAAAGACCTTCAAAAGTTGATATTTGGCTTCAAAGGAAGTACAACTACATAGATATTTACATATGGATGGAAAAAAGTCTAGTTTTGATATAACACAGTTTTTGACAAGCTTCGTTGGGTATCCTCGTCTATGCGCTGAATGTTAGGCGGGGTGTCCCTGACGCCTCCGACTAAACTGTTAGACGGAGGTAACAAGGTCTCCTCTCAGAAAACCATGGGCATAGGGGCGGAAACCTAGCTCAGCCTAAGACTCGAGTGGAAAATTTTGTGGCATCTAGAAGAAGCTAGGAGTACGTCCAAGTCAAAGCCGAGAGATGAAGGCGGACAATATCCTAAACATGCTACAACACCCTCCTTGTCAGGCACAGAACTGAACTGTGCAGCGTGCATACACGAACGCTAACACCATCTCACCTAACTGGTACAGGGACAGTGCCACACCCATCTCTCTCTTGTGACGGAAGATGTTGTCACCGTCCCTTCGAATATGACCGAGCAACTGAGGTTAATTGCGATACGACTGATGGAGGGGAATTGCCCCCAACAATGGCGTCCGTCGAGGAGAACGACGCCCAGAAGAATAGTAGGACTAGTGACACATGAGGCAACTAGTCGAACAAGTCTGAACCAAGCATGACGACATCACCACCAAGTCCCTGTACTTGTAAACCCCACCCCCTTGACTATATAAAGGGGCTTGTGGAGCCCTACCAAGGGGCATGAGAAGCAATCACCCTTTCTGCAAATGGGTCTCCAAGAGAGGTCTTCATATTGTGTTGGAGACTCATTTTGGATTTGGGTTCCGCAATGGGTCTCTTGTTGGAGACAGCCTTATTGCGCCCACTAGCTTTTGCCCCCGTCCTGAATTTGGGTGCTAGTTTTGTTCCACTGTGTGCAGATTTTCTGGGGCCGGCCGACTGAGCTGAGCCTGCTGCAGTAGGGAGAGTAGTCAAGGCACTATGGTAATTTTCCCCCTCCTGTTTGTTTCCTCTTTGGGTGCTCCCCCGACCTGTCGTTGTTGTTGTTGTTGTTAGGGTGGGGGTGGAGTTCCATTGACGCGCCTCCCTTCTTGTGCCTGCAGTTGTTCTTCTCCTACTTCAAGGAGCTCGTGGGGAAGGAGGTGACAGTGGAGCTCAAGAATGATCTGGCGATCCGCGGGATGCTCCACTCGGTTGACCAGTACCTCAACATCAAGCTGGAGAACACCCGCGTTGTTGACCAGGACAAGTATCCCCACATGGTATGTCTGTTGTTGTTGTGTCTAATTTCTATATATCAAAGCAGGAAGGTTTGGCAGCCGCTCAGGGTGGCCACGTCGCCCCGAATTCTCCTGGCCGTCCGATCGTCCGTCGTGTGGCCCAGATTTCTTGTAGCCGCTTCTCTTTGAATCAGCTTCTGCTGGCTCCTCGTCGCTCTAGCTTGATGTGGCTACCTTCTGCGGCTTCTCGTGCGAATCCGGTGGAGCAAATATATACTCAAGCTCCTGATTCTCCTTCAGCCAACTTCTCATCCCCTCCTCTCTCTCTCTCTCTCTCTCTCTCTCTCTCTCTCTCTCTCTCTCTCTCCTGTACGCTCCCTCCCTCGCTCCCCAGTCGCGACGCGACCGAGCCAACGGCGCGGGCCGAACTCGGCGGTGGCTGGCCCTCCGCGCGGCGGCGGCCACCCACCTCCTCCTCCTCCTCCTCCTGAGCCTCCACCACTCCGTTTCCTCCTCGTGACGCAAGGTAGTGGGTCGCGCGTCCTAGGGTTTGGCCCCTCCATCGCCGGTCGTCCCCACGGGCGCGCAGCCAGCCAGCGGACGCGTGGACGCCCTGACGCGGCCGACGGCTCTGGCGGCGGAGTGACCTCCGTGGTGGCCGTGGATGATGACGGGGAGGTCACGTCGGCAACCTCGGCGGTGGATCTGAAGCGGCCGCTCGCGGGGCCCCTCCCGGCTGCGAATCTGAGGCTGGGGCATGGCGTGGGGCTCGCGCCGACAACGGAGGCGGTGGATCTGCGGCGAGCAGGCGGATCCAGTGTGAGGCCTCCCCGTCGCCACTAGATCTAGCTGCATGGGCTCCACCGATGGCCGGTGCGCCGGCTGGACGATGGTGCACGTCCGCGAGCTGGCCCCCGCTGCCCCCCGCACGTGGGCGCCGCCGTGGCTATCACCCCGACGCGGCTTCGTCCCGCAGGTTCGCGACTCCTCGTGCGCCGCGCTGGGGCCTTCTCTGCGGTGTGGTGGGGAGGGAGAAGATTAGTAAGGAAACTGATAGTTAGGGCCTGCATAACAGTGGCAGATGGACAAATATCTGCTATCCATGTAATCCCTTCTTATCCCATCCCTCTGAACCAAACGCAGCCTAATTGCATAGATGTGCTGTTAACTGGTAGAAGATTTACCCTAATACTGACTGCCAGAACACAGTGCTTGGGTAATTCGATGGTGTTCATTGTCCATGAATACAGAACAAAACCACGGATTTATCCTTGAAGAATTCATATATACTTCACTTTTGCATTGTGTACTAGACCTTCACATTCTCATATGTTGATTGTGTCTTAGTGAGTCCCTCTAGCATGCGCCTGATGTGCTTTCTGATCAATATTGTATTGTACTGTAAATTTATGAAACACTGTTAGTTTGTGAATGAAAGTTCGATCTGTTCCTAAATCATGGCCCAGAAGTTGCATAAGTTAAATAAATATAATCAATCCAGTCACTCAGCCTGTTCGTTTCGGCTTATTCGCTCGTATCTAGCTTATAATCCACGGCTTGAACAATGTTTTTCTCCCACACCAAACCAACCAGCAGTACTTTCAGCCATGGCTTATAAGCCAATTCAGCCGAAACGAACAGGGTGACTGTCTGCCTGCCTCCACTCCTATGTATGAATGAACTCAATTCCGTAGAAGGATGCTTAGATAGATGCAAGGTTGTGGGGGCGCGCCAGCTGTGTCAGTTGCTGATCTAGTCCTGGCTGTCTAAACTTCTGAATTCATTGTCTATTTCTAAAGGATGTTCACCTAATTCTGAATGTATTAATCATTGATCAATGAACCCTTCATGAATAAACTCTCAAATTTGCTAATATGTTCTTGGAAGTGTTACTGATGTTTGTACATGAAATTTTAAAACCTTTTTAATTCCCTGGCAAGATATAGATAGACAAGTCACCAGTGCAAGATATAGGCTTCCTTTCTATTGTTCTTGATAATGGAAGTAATCTGATGGTCTCAACTAAATAAGAAAAGAAAGGTGAAAAGATTGATACTAGGAAGTTGACACATCTGGATTTTCCTTCTCACGTGACTTATGGGTCGATCTAATCAATCTGTACTGATCTAGCATTTCTGTGGCAGCCTTGCACTACAGTTAGTTACTTTAGGGGGCCCCTTACTTTAGTCGTGCTCTTCACTCTGTAGCATTCTGACCTTGAAAATTTGTGTTGGAACTCAGTGCATGGGTAATGAATGGTGTCCACAGTCCACACACACAGAATAGAACCATAGGTGTAGCAAATGAAAGAAATGGAACATTCATGTCCACTGGACTTGTGCATGAACTCACACATCAAATTGAGTAACTTGAAGAAGTCTATGATAGACCTAAAACATGATCACTGGCCATAGATCTAGCGTGTCTACTTACTTTTGGAATAAACAGTCAGTCCTAGAACATCTACTAGTACAAGATTAATAGATAGAGTGAGAGAGAGGGGTTAAGGGGGTGCAAACCAACGACCGGCTTGGAGGAAGACGGGCTCGCCATTGCGGTGCTTGGTGAAGACCCGGTGGCGGTGTTGAGTTGAAGGGCGGCGATGCAGTGGTGGCGTTGGCCGGTGGCGGTGCTTCCCGTCGCTGGCAGCACCCCCTCTGTGATCGGTTAGGGTTTAGGACTGTAGGTGGGGTGCTAGGCGGCTCAGGTGAACCTCGTGCTTGGAGCCCCAGCCCCCACCTCCTATTTATGGCACTGTGCGACGGGGGCCCACCAACCATATTAGGGTTGGCGCGCCCCCGATCAGGGCGCGGATCCAAGGGCCCAATTGGTCGTTGGGCCAATTGGTGGAGATCAACTAACATTCTCCCCCTTGATCTCACTTATAACTTAAACTTAACTTACTTACTTTCTCTTGTTCCCATTCCATCACAGATCAGTGCATAGAGCATGTCTCATTGTCACGGTCAGCTGCCATTAGATTAAACAGCTACAATGCACATCTCTGTTTTGAAACACATTCTTAACTAGGCTCTTATTATCCAGGAATCATAGGCTTTCCCTTAAACCCATGTCGGCTAAGTGTTCTCTGAACACGCTGGGTGGTAAGCCTTTTGTAAGCGGATCCGCTAGTATCTTTTATGTTCTTATATGCTCAAGACTAATTATATAACCCCAGACTTTATCTTTCACAACATAATACTTTATGTCAATGTGTTTGGCAGCACCACTTTACTTATTGTTGTGAGCATAACATACTGCTGAATTATTATCGTAGTATAACTTAAGTGGTTTATGTATGTCGTCTACAACTTTCAACCCGGGCATGAATTTCTTTAGCAAATTCACCTGCCCTGTGGCCTCATAACATGCTACAAACTTGGCATACATTATGGACGATGTAGTGATGGTTTGCTTTGAGCTTTTCCACGATATAGCTCCTCCTACGAGAGTGAATATGTATCCTGACGTGGACTTTCTTTCATCTCCCGTATAATCAGAATCTGTATACCCCTCTATGTGCAGGGAATGAGATCTTCTGTACGTTAGCATGAGACCCTTCGTACCTTGCAGGTAACGCAAAACTTTCTTTACTAATTTTTAGTGTTCTATTCCTGGATTACTCTGATATCTACCAAGCAACCCGCTAATAAATGCTAAGTCAGGGCGAGTACACACTTGAGCATACTGTAAACTTTTGATAGCTGAACTATATGGAACCGCTTTCATTTGATCGATCTCATATTGGTTTCTGGGACATTGAAATTCCCCATATCTGTCGCCCTTGACTACGGGAGCAGGTGATGACTTACCATTTTGCATACTATATTTCTTTAGAACTTTTTCTAAGTATGCCTTTTGTGATAATCCTAAAGCCCCATTTTCTCTATCTCGGTGAATCTCTATTCCTAGGACGAACGAAGCTTCACCGAGATCCTTCATATCAAACTTTGAGGACAAGAACTTCTTTGTTTCTAGTAATAGATTGACATCACTGCTAGCGAGCAAGATGTCATCCACATACAAGACTAGGAAAATGTATTTCCCATTCTTGAACTTTACATAAACGCAATTGTTCTCTACATTTTCTTAAAACCCAAACTTTCTTATTGTACTATCAAACTTCAAATACAACTGCCTTGAAGCTTACTTTAATCCATAAATGGATTTCTTCAGGCGGCATCCCACGCGTTCTTTTTCTTCCACAACAAAACCTTTCGGTTGTGCCATGTAAACGTTTTCCTCCAAATCCCCATTTAGGAATGTCGTCTTTACATCCATCTGATGTAATTCTAAGTCGTAATGTGTTACAAGCGCCATTATGATTCTAAAAGAATCCTTACATAAAACTGGAGAAAATGTTTCATTGTAATCTATGCCTTCTCTTTGCTTGAAACCTTTTGCCACAAGTCGTGCTTTAAACATTTCTATATTCCCTTTGGAGTCATGTTTAGTTTTGTAGACCCATTTACAGCCTACTGTCTTGGCTCCTTTAGGAATTGTTTCTAATTTCTAAACTCCGTTGATTTTCATTGATTTCATTTCATCTTCCATGGCTTCAAGCCACTTAGATGAGTGAGCGCTTCTCATGGCTTCTTCAAATGAGGTGGGATCACCCTCCATTTAAAATTCCTCACATTCATAAACTTCATAATCATCAGGAATGGCTCATCTCCTGACTCTTTGAAACCTTCTAGGGGTCTCGTTAGATGACACTTGTTCTACATGAGGCTGTTGTTGCTCTCCCTCATGTGTGACAACGGATTCTTGAGGATCCTGAAGGACAGGTTCCTCATGCTCATTCATTGTTGCCACAGGAGAACTAACAACAGGTGTTGTTACTACAGTGTCTTGCACTGTTGGTACAGCAACAACAGGTAGCGTGAAGAATAGTTCGTGAACCATAGGAGTAGGCACATATACCCGCTTCTCTTCAAAACTTATTTCTCACGCTACCATGCTCCCCTTGATCATATCATTCTCCAAGAAGACAGCATGTCTTGTTTCTACAAACTTCATTTGTATGTCAGGATAATAGAAGCGATAACCTTTTGACTTTTCTGAATAGCCAATGAAATGGCAGCTGACTGTCTTGGAGTCCAGCTTTCCTATGTTTGGGTTAAATACTTTTGCCTCAGCTGGACAACCCCACACAAGTAAATAGTTTAGTGAGGGTTCGTTTCCTGTCCACAACTCATACGGTGTTTTGGGCACCGACTTACTTGGCACTCGATTAAGAATATGAATGGTGGTTTTCAACGCCTCCATCCATAAACTTATCGGTAAAGAAGAGTAACTTATCATGCTTCTCACTATATCCATTAAGGTACGGTTGCGTGTTTCAGCTACTCCATTCTGCTGAGGCTCGACCGGTGTAGAATATTGAGCTACTATGTCATTTTCCTGTAAGAACCTTGCAAAGGGTCCAGGAACTTGGCCATATGGGGTGTGTCGACCGTAGTACTCTCTCCCACGGTCGGACCTTACTACCTTAATCTTTAAGTTGTGTTGATTTTCTACTTCAGTCTTAAATATCTTAAATTTATCCAATGCTTTCGATCTTTTCTTAATTGAATAAATATAGCCAGAACATGAATAATCATCTGTGAATGTTATAAATGAATCATAACCATCCACACTCTTTATAGGAAAAGGACCACAGATGTCTGTGTGGACTATTTCTAAAATTCCTGTACTTTGTTTGGCATCTTTCTTTATTTTCTTAACACACTTTCCTTTTATGCAATCTATGCATTATTCTAAATTTGAAAATTCTAAAGGTGGAAGAATTGATTTCTTAATCAATCGCTCTATTCTTCCCCTCGAAATATGGCCTAAACGACAGTGCCATAATTTCAAAGATACATCATGCACTCTCTTCCGTTTATTTGTTGCATTCATAGATGAGGAAGAATTCTCATTCTCAGTACTTACATCATTCACATTCTCAAAAAGTGATAATAAATAAAGCTTGTCTTGTCGGAAGGCAAGACCAACACATTTATTATTATAAACAATCTGACATTTGTCATTACTAAAATGGCAATCATATCCATCGTCATCTAAACGTGAAACACTTATTAAGTTTCTTCACAAAGAGGGTACAAATAGAACATCTGAAAGCTTAAGTAGAAAACCATCAACTAATTCTAGAGAAAGATCTCCAATGGCTTCAACTTGAGCTTCAACTCCATTTGCTACTTTAATTTTTCTTTCTCCTCTTTGCAGGGTCCTCCTCGTACGGAATCCCTATAATGAATTTGCAACATAAACAG